TTAAATACAATTTAAATGTATTGATTGTTGTTCAAATGTAAATAATCTGCATGTCAACATAAAATATTTTATGTTATATTGTATAGATTATTAAAATAAACTAATGTTTTGGAATCATGTACCAATTATTATGTAAAAATTGTAATAACATTACATGGTATGTAGCCATATCGTACAAATTTATTGATTTAAATAAAATGCATATATTTTATATGTTTATTTATTCATTGACACATATATGTACAAAAATAGAATTAGTAATATCTAAATACAATAAGTATAAGGTATGAGTTTAAACTGTTAATAAAAGCTCAAATATGCTACTACCTACTGGTCCAAGTACAGTGTACACCCAAATAAAAAATCATAATTTATTATATTTATATAGATACCTATATAGGTAGTGTATAATAACAAAAAAAATTAAATATTAAGCATGATGTAGAGAAGATATAATATCTACAATAGAGAATAGAATATATTATCAGTTAAAATAATAATATAATATTATAACATTTTGTTTACAATCCAGAATATATTTTGTATGTAATGCAGAGAACGCCAATCGAGAAAAAAATAAAAGAAAAAAAAATGAGCGAAACAATCTAAACTCATATAACCCTGTAGGTACATAAAATTGTTGAAATATAAAAATTATATAATAAAACATCCTTAATTGAAACTATTTTAAATGTTACCTAATTGAATAGAATAATTACTTTGAAATAGTTCTTACGTGGCTAATATTTTAAATGTTGAAGTAATAGTATCAAAAACGACAAAAATGTTTGTATTCACAATATAAAAACCAGCCTTCGGGAGAATGGTGGCGCTACCTGCACGAGACATTTGTACTACCAAAGTGCCGGAAAAATTTGCGACCGGAATATTTACAAGTGGTGTCACCATATCTTCTCTACATCGAGATCCTACAGTTCGCGAATATAAGATAAACATAAACATAATATTATATTTTTTTTCTGGAATTCAACTATACTTTCCAACTATAATTACTTTTCTGTGAGATTAGGTGCAGGTGCATAGGATTCGTGACTATACCTTCCGAGTACATATTTTTCGATAAGAGTAAGGTCTTTGGGTCCATATGGCCTGATTTATTACAGATCTTGTGAATATATATTGGTCCAAAAATCAAAGGTCGCAAGCGTTGACAAGAACGTATAGGAGACAACCTTAATTTCAAATTTGAAGAATGAAGAATAATTCATATGTTTTCACTTAATAGTTTTAGTACGACATCAATAAATTACTATAATAATATTATGAACTGAGCAATAAACAACATAAAATGGGTCTTTATGTTTAAATAGCGCTGTGATTCACCTGTATATTTTGTATTACGTTAATAAGTAGCCGAATTAGTTCCCGTTTGAAAAAGGTATTTTATTAATCGGTCCCCATTTAAATATATGATGATCGAATTAGTGGTCGAGTTGGTTTTCGATTTTTAATTACGCACATTTCCCTTCCTAGTTTTACAGGCTTAGTAATGTCAACTTCACAGTATTTAGGCATGGTTAAAAATGGGCGTTAGCCATCGTTGAAATGGAAGTCAACCAGTCATCACTTATTAGGAACATAAAATAAAAATAATAAAAAATATAATCGTTTAAAATGTAAGATTGTTAAGCTGATAGGTTAGGTTAAGCCAACCTTGCAAATTTAAAACAAATTTTCTTTAAATATTTAATCGTGTTAAATTTTGCCCATATTAATGTAGTCAGTCATACAGTTTTCTAAGTACCTACTGGCTATTGGTTGTTTTTTCTTGTTTGCTGGTAAGTATCATTGTACTACTACTGTGAAATTGAATATGTAATTTAATTCTTAAATACTGTTCAAAGCATCTGTAAAATAAAAAAAAATATTAGGATGGGAGCTGGTAAATTCTTTATGTAATTTCATATTACTAGAACTTGCTTAGAAATTAAAATTATTTGACCTGATATTTGGTATAGGCGTATAGCTACATATAATATTGTACTCGAAATACGAATGCTTCTTACTAAGTAAATACTAATTACTAATAACAATATAATGTTATAATAGTTATAAGTTATAACTGTCAACTGATCCTCTATCATAATTCACAATCAGATTTGAAGAAAAATTTGTGACGGCATTTTATTAGGCATCTGTTACTTATTGGTGCTTTTATACCATCCGATTTATTTATTGCTAATTTTTATGCTAATCTTGTTTTGGTTAGGTCTTACATCAGAAAAGTTTCAAATCTTTATAGACTATTAATGATTCACCATGAAATATTCATTGAATTACAATAAGTTAAAGAATACTAATAATAGGTATCATTAGGTGAACATTTGATTAATTATTATTTTTGATACTTTAAATTATCCAGTTTTGTCAACATTTGATTTCTAATTTTTTTTTATTCTCGTCATTTAACACTGTCTCCTCTATCGAATTACTTCCACCGAGTTTACGGTAGCGACAATTAAACCTTATATACTAATCAAAGTTGATCATTATGTTAATATTGTTAGGTATTTGTTTGCTAAAAATGTTAATTTAATTATTTAGTTGGAGGAAAATACTATACGTTTTTAAAGTAAAATGGATGTTTATTCAAATTAATAATCCTTTCTGCAGAGACAGTGACTCTAAAAAAAAATGTGTGACTTGTAGAAAGTCTACGGGGAGTCTTAAAACTACTAATAGTTTTAAAAAAATGCACGGTAGGTATCGGTACGTCTCCATCTTTGCTTAGCTCTCATACTTAGTAGAACCATAGTCTAGTCTAATGAAGTCCAAAACTTTTAATTTTTTCTGAGATATATCAAATCATATTGCAATACTTGGTAATTATTTTTCATAAAATATAATTAAAATATTTATTATTTTATACAGCACACCTACATATATAATTATAAATAATGTAAAAAATAAAAATAAAAATGTATTGTACTTAGTATTAGATAATTTACATATAGCAGCTTGAGATTGATGTACATATATACGTTTGTGTACCCATTATTGAATGATTTTGTATTTAAGGTACTTAAACATTAATATTTTTTTTTTATTATTTTTAAATACATTATTATTTCTAGTATTTATTGATATTTTAATGAAATATAAAAAAACATGTGGTTAACCGCATAATAATGATGTAGGTAAAGAACGTGTGTTAAACACCATATGTATACTACAACTTACAAGAATTAAAATTCTCAAGCCCTAGGTATTTAAATATTTAAATATTTTCAAAATATTTCTATGAATTGTTAAGCCTTAAATATTTTCCTTGGTTGTGAACATGTATAAATAAAAAAAATGTTTAAAAAATTGCATGTATTAGTATCATGGAATTGCAACAATGTAAGCGAAGCGGAAAACATTTTTTTTCTCTATAGTGTTTAGCCGTTTAGGTATATTTCAAGTTGTTAGCCTCTACCACGATGTAGAGAAGATCTTTTCTACGTCGTGATGGCCTCTCCAATAATTATAGGTACCCAATATCCGCTAATAGTCCATTATAAATTATAAAAAAATAATATAATAATTCCAATATTTATGATTTATTTTTATCCGATATTATTATAAATTTACGGCATTTCTGTAGAAGCGGACAAGCCAACGACGCTCGTTACTGTAGCTACAAGGTCGTCTGACTTTCGAAAAATTGTCGACCGTTTGTTTGTGATGTCATAATATATTATAAACATACTTAAGCTGTTGTTGTGGCCAAATCCCCTTCTCCTGTTCCTGTTCCTATAATGTTTTCTGTTTCTATACATATGTTATGTTGCCGGGGTGCCCCACTCATTATGAGTTAATGTCAATATCCAAACTCTTAAAGTTTGAAAGTGGTTCTACATAAATCAAATATAAACTTAAACACGTTTAAACACATTTAATACCTACCTATGCATACTGTGATTAATGAATTTAATCTTTAATCATACATTTGTTTTAGTTGTGTGCTTCCTTTTTTTATGTTATAGATAGTATTCAAAGCAGTATTTGGCGGATTTGACAACATTTTAAGAGAAGAGGGGGAATTTTGCTACCATGGCACATAGAGATATGCGAGAAAAATTGTTTTCCACCTCTTATGATGTCATATAGGTACCTACTCTTTTATTGTTGTCCCCTTCTCCTGTTCCTGTTTCTATCACGTTGCTATACATGTCTATGCACAGGTGCGTATCATGTTTAAGACATTCGGACGTAGGTAATATAGGTATTAATGGTATTATGTTATATGATAATATTATGCACAAATGCACAATGCACATGCGCATTATGATACTCTTAATTTTTATGGTGCACATACTATTATATAATAATAATAGAACTACTATTTCAATATGATAGCCGATACCGAGGTATCTCCTATTCTGTTAATCTATGTAACCTATAATACAATTATTCTGTAACATAATATTATAATCTATTTATCTTTCGACTAATTCTCTTAGTTCTCGTCACAGATAATATACATATCTGCGGTTAATCTAGTATAATACCACGATCTTATACATATATATATATAAGACCGTGTATAATACTTTTATTATGGGAAAAAATGTTCAAGGGGGAGGGGGTTAAACACGCCACTGATAATAATAATATGGAAATATTAAATCAGATTTTTGCAATAGTATTATATCTAATGTAGTTAATATAATTGTAGCTATATATCCGTGATAGGTAGTTACTAATTACTAGTTAGCCAATTAGGATTCGTTCATTAGGCACATATCATTTTTGAACAGCGGAGTTACTTAATTAGTGATAACATTATCCGACGTGTTAAACACACGCGAAATGCGAATAGATTTTGTGAACAATTACCGTAAATAGGTAATAAATAATGTGTAAAACCAAAAATAAAACCCACTGGAGAATATTTTTCCCCCTTTGAAATTTTTTCTTATTAATAGTTTTTCTTCCATGTTACTCGAATAATTCTTATCAGAAATCGTCTTTTGTGTTTTTTTTTTTTATTAATCATTATTCACTTTACGGGTGCCTAGTAGAATATTTAATTAACCACTACGCTCACTAGGTACATTATAATTTATTAATTGTGTCCCGTTTAACACTTTAGCAAAACACTTTCCAACCGTATACGACCGTCAATGCCGTTTTACCTAGATGTAATAGGCTCGCAGTGACGTCGAGTTCAGCTGAGAGCAGAGTTGTTTCGTGTATTTGGGATTTGGATCATCGCATTACAAAAACAACACTGCACTTGTGTGTTATCATGTATGTAAAACGCGCCTAAGTGAGGACTGAGAACGTCTTATTGTGCCTGGTGGACTTGGAGCTACAACGATTGCGCTACGCAAGATGGGCAGCTGCTTCAGTTGTCAGAGGGGCTCGTCCGGCAAGAAGGACATGACGGGCTCGCCTTCCAACGCTGGCAACAGCAAAGACAACATATTGCCAGCCGTGCCCAACGTGCCCATTCAGAATATGCCACCCCACGACAACATACGTGAAGTCAGGAATGGACCGATGCCGCCGGTTCCCGACCAAGAGCCTTCTAATGCGACGAATGCATCGGCAAAAATATTTGTAGCCCTCTATGATTATGACGCACGCACCGATGAAGACCTCAGTTTCAGGAAGGGAGAACATTTGGAAATTCTGAATGATACTCAGGGAGATTGGTGGCTAGCCAGGAGCAAAGCTACCAAGCAAGAAGGTTATATCCCTTCTAATTATGTTGCCAAATTGAAGTCTATAGAGGCTGAGCCGTGGTATTTTGGCAAGATCAAAAGAATCGAAGCTGAGAAAAAACTGCTATTGCCAGAAAATGATCACGGAGCATTTTTAATAAGGGATTCTGAAAGTAGAAGAAATGATTACTCTTTGTCTGGTGAGTCAATTGAACATATTTCCTATATTATTGGTAGGTTCATTACCTACCTGCCTACATACCTAGATTCATCTACTTTAAATTAACACAATGCAACTTTTATTGAGTACTTTAGTAAACAAGTTATATTTTTGATGGCTTTGGTTTATGTTTATTAAATATTTCAAAAGAAAATAATACTCAAGATGTAGGTTACCGAACCTATTTATTTAAATTCTAGCATTCATTAATGTTAACAAATATAAACCTTATATAGGAAGGTATTATTTTATAAGCATTTGATTATGATACTTTTATATAATGCATCAAGTTTTTTTTACAAATACCTTCCATGCTTAACAATAATAATTTACTTAACTGAATCAACTTTTATAAAAAAACCCTACATTAAGTACTTGTTAAAATTTTAGGAATCTAGTGACAATTGGCAATTGGATGTCTCAATAAAAGTAGGTACCTACCTAGTTGTTTATTTAAATATAGGTAGGTAATCAGTTTTTTTAAAAAATGAAAATTCATTTAAAAAATTTTTCTCATGCATATTAATGAGAATTTAATGTATTTTAGTCAAGTAGGTATTTTGTTTCTTGGTTGATACATTTTTCATAAACATATTATAATCGACTGTTGATATATTTACATATACCTATATTTATTATATGCACAATGTACATGTTATTATAAAATAAAATATGTAAAAAAAATCATAATGATAATATTATATTATAATATATATTTTAGCTAATTGGTTAATATCACATTTTATGTTTTCCAATGTTTTTTATATTTTGGTACCTAAGTAAATATTTTTTTCTTTGATTATCTATTTACCTCATATATTTATAAACAAGAAAATTCAAGGTCCAAAATGTTATTAGGTATTATTGTTATTTGAAATTGTTTTATTTATTAAATGATTTTTCAAGGGATATTCCTATTAATAATTCACAGTTAATATTATTAAGTATATATAGTATATACTAGTACTAATTACTATCTAGGATGGTAAAATAAAAAAAATTATTTTAAATTTGTGTAAAGTCCTGTATTATGCTAAATAAGGAAAAGTGTCTGGATTAGGAGCTATTCCCTTCAGTGCACTTCTGTAATGAGTTAATGTAAATATCATCTTTCAAAGTTTGAATGTGGTCCTATGTAAAATATAAACTTGAATACATTTAAACATTATATGATAGTAAAATTATATAATATTGAATTATGTTGTACTTGTGTGTTAACTTACTTTTTATCGTATATTCATATACATTATGTACATTTACTATAGTTCGCGATGGTGATACTGTTAAGCATTACCGAATCAGACAATTAGACGAAGGTGGATTCTTCATTGCTCGGCGGACAACCTTTAGAACTCTACAGGAATTAGTAGAGTACTACAGTAAAGATGCTGACGGTTTATGTGTCAACTTACGTAAGCCTTGTGTACAGGTAATATTTCATTTTTTAATTAAAAAAAAATCTACAAGACATGGATTTTTTTGGATAAAATACTTAATCTATCACAAACCTGCATTATTCATTCTGATGTAATCAAATCATTTTTACTGTCCACACACTTAATTTATTTAGTACATTTATTGATTATTATAGAATTTAAATAGGTTTACAATATTGATATATAAATATAAAAATGAATGTTAGTCTGATTGTTTCTTTGTACTCTATATACTCAAGACGGGCCTGTTTTCTATAAAAGTTATATCAATATATAATAATATATAATATATTCAATAAATAATATCTTAGAGACTCAAGAAGTGTTTGCGTCTTAAGAGGACGTGATACCCGCATGTGTTGTCTTCGTCTTACAAGTGCGTACCATAGCAAATTTTACGCTCAGCAGAACATGTGTAGCTCCGTTAGTTTAAAAATTAGTGCGAATTGACCTCTTATAAAATCTAAAGGTAAGATTATTATCTAGTAAACCTCATAGTTTTTTTTTTAATTTTAATTTTAATGCGAGTTATGAGTATTTTAAGATATATAAAAAATTTACAATTTTAAAATACTCATAACTCGCGTTAAAATTAATATATAATAAAAAACCTATGAGGTTGACTAGATAATAATCTTACCTTTAGATTTTATAAGAGGTCAATTCGCACTAATTTTTAAACTAACGGAGCTACACGTGTTCTGCTGAGCGTACAATTTGCTATGGCACGCACTTGTAAGACGGAGACAACACATGCGGGTATCACGTCCTCTTAATTGAACTTCTATATGGTTATATGCTGCCATAGGATGGCTCACACTTATATTTTTGACTTACGTAAATTCAATTTATTTATTTAAATGGTTGCCATATAGTAAAATAGTTTTGATTGGATATAATTTTCTATACCTATTGTATTATATTTTATCATTTAGGCAAATAAAGCTATTCCATATAGATGTAAAGTGAATAACGACTTTCAGTTATTATATCTTGGAAGCGAAGTGTGTGATTGAGGTTATATACTGAAAAAATACTCGACCAACTTTGACAAAAAACAATTGATAATAACTCAACTGAAATAAAACAGAAATGAAAGATAGATGAATTGATATTTGGCTATAAATAATTATACAGATAATATTAGTTTGATTACCTTTATCATAAGGTTACATTTATGCAAATTCATAGTTAATGACCAATTGGCACCAAATTTTGCTCTTATTATTTGGGATCCTGGGTAGATTGTATAAGTATAAGAAAAGAAGCCACGGTTACAGGTATTATATTTAAAAGGTAAAGTAAGTGACTGAGATTTATGGAATTAGAAAATACTCAACCAATTAAAACTTATAGGATTATTCTTTGTGTTAATTTTTTTTGATTTTTAGTTTTTATACATTATAAATAATTAAAAAGTGTTCATGATTTTGACTTATTTTGTTAAAATTCTAACTTCATAAAATATTTTTTTTATAAAAATGTAACACACATGAAAAATTGTGATCACTCATAGGTTAACTTTTTTACTACTTTAAGTACAACTTTTAAGGAATCTTGTATTTAATTTCAAGCATTTTGCTACTTTTAATTGTTCATTACTTCATTGGTTGGATTGTGAATAGATTTTGGTTTTAAAATATAAGTAAACAAATGTATATTTAAATAAATTTGGATAACTATTATTAACAGTAACCAATAATCACTTCTAACTACAAAAACTATAGCGGTTATTTGTTTTTCTCTCCTGATTTAGGTGTTCTAAATAACTTTTAAATATAATTAATAAATAATCAATGTACCTAAATGTATGAAATTATGGGCACCATTAATATGTTAAATATGAAAATTACTTTTATTTTTTTGATAGGTTGAGAAACCAGTAACTGGTGGTTTATCCCATAGTACAAGAGACCAGTGGGAAATTGATAGATCTTCTTTGAAGTTTGTCAGAAAATTAGGACATGGTCAGTTTGGCGAAGTTTGGGAAGGCTTGTGGAATAATACAACACCTGTTGCTATAAAAACATTGAAGACTGGTAAATTGCAATTATATTGATTTATATTTTATATAATAAGTTAATGAAAAAAAAAAAATGTTTTATTTAACTTAGGTACAATGGATCCCAAAGATTTCTTAGCTGAAGCCCAAATTATGAAAAAACTCAGGCATACCAAATTAATTCAATTATATGCTGTTTGTACGATGGAAGAGCCAATTTATATTATCACTGAACTTATGAAAAATGGAAGCTTATTAGACTTTTTACAAGGTATTCTACAATATATTTTTTTAAATTGTTCATATATTTGATATAATACTTAATTGTAACTTATAAATAGGTAAAGGACGTGGTTTGAAACTCCAACAATTGATTGATATGGCAGCTCAAATAGCGTCTGGTATGGCTTACCTTGAATCTCAAAATTATATTCATCGTGATCTTGCTGCTAGGAATGTTCTTGTTGGAGAGAGTAACATTGTGAAGATCGCAGATTTTGGTCTTGCTCGTCTTATAAAGGTTAAGGTTCTGAAAACTAATTATTGTTGTATAAAATGTTAACATTTTTTTTTTCAGGAGGATGAGTATGAAGCAAGAGTTGGTGCTAGATTCCCTATCAAATGGACTGCGCCAGAAGCTGCTAATTATAGCAAATTTTCTATAAAATCTGATGTATGGTCATTTGGAATTTTACTCACTGAGCTGGTTACCTATGGGCGAATTCCTTACCCGGGTAAATATTAATATATATTCAGTTTTTGAAAGATTGTACCTTTTTATTGAAATTACTGGTTAATTTTAGGTATGACCAATGCTGAGGTATTGCATCAAGTTGAGCATGGTTACCGAATGCCAATGCCACCTAATTGTCCTACGGCATTGTATGACATTATGTTAGAATGCTGGCATAAAGATGCAATGAAGAGACCAACATTTGAAACACTTCAGTGGAAACTGGAAGACTTCTTCACAATGGAGGGGTCTGAGTATAAAGAAGCATCGGGTTACTGAGATCACGCCCGCCTCTCGGAGTGGCCTATGCAACAGGCCATCGCTCTACGCGGTGCTAATCCCCAAGCAGCCGCCATATATATGCAACATGCATCTGCGGTTTATCACGCACATAGACATCAACTACATCATTTGCACAATATTTATCATTAACACTGCTAGATACATCTTTGACCATCATTACTTTTGGTAAGTCATAAATATTTATAACTTATCAGTTTCTTATTTCTTTTTTTTTGAAGTTTTTATTAATGAATTGTTTTTAAACTATTTAGTTGTAGATAACCTTTTAATTTTATTAGATACTGTTATTCTATTCAACATTAGATTGTAAACTTAGGTTAAATTATTTTTTATATCTGCCAACATGCTTCATCTAATTTGTACTTTTTTTTCATTTTTATCGATGTTAATAAGTTCTATTTTTTTATAACACAGTGAGTAATATTATCTCTGTATGTATAACCATAAACATAGCTCAAAGAAACCTTGTACAAGAAAATTTAATTTAGTGATGTTGTTCCTGAATCAGTAAACTGTTCCCTTCATTGTGTAATATTTTAAAACTGTGATTGTTGTATAGTTCATATGAAATTCAGAGAACTTGTGTATTATATCTAAGGACAATGCATCTTTTTATACTCTGGGTATATAATATATATTATGTTTTATTATAACAGGTGTATTTTTACCTGTTTATAAAATAATATATTGTAAGTTGGTACAATTTTTAAATTTATTGTTCAATTCATTAATTTACTAGTTCTTTGTTCAATAGTATTAAAAGTAATGTCTATTTGTGATCTGCAATGTCAATTGTTAATCTATTTTTAGTGAAAATTGAAATATGTTAAATATTTGTTTTGTAGTTATTCTAAAAATGAATTAATACAAATTACATTCAGTATTAATCAAATAATAAGAAATCTGTTCATTTAAATGTATTTAATATAATTAATAACTTTCTATGATAATGCATAGTTATTAGTTATTACTAATATATTGATAAGAAATAATATTAAATTAAATATTTTATAAATAGTTTAATTTACTTCTTTGATAGTATTTCATATCGGTTGTTGTCTTGTAATTTCTAAGCATTGTACCAATCACAGTTTGTTTTAATTATTTCAATCACAACTATTAAATTCTTCTGAATATTTTTGATAAAATATTTAGATTATGCATAGTAATATTAATTTTCCATTTACTGTTTATATCACGATAGTTATTATATAATGTATCCTTTTTTACTTCATTTTCTTTGTTATTTTTTCTACCATATTATATTTTCTACATTTTTTTTTATGACTCACAAAAATAATTTTGTTAAGTACAAAACCAAAAACCCAAAAGATGTTCTAAACTACTATAACGAATTAACACAAAATAAACAACCCAGTGTTCATATTTTCAGAGCGATTTCGAGAGGTTAACGTATTATTCTATAATACTAATAAATAATTAATATTAAAAAAAAAAGTTGTAAATAAAATAAATTTGTTCTCATCATGAGTTTTTTTATACTAGGAATACATTCAAAAGTTGTTATTTAATGTTTTGTATTTTTGCATGCATACTAGAATAGAATATTGTAACATTTAGATAAATCGAACAAAAAATTCTTTTTTTTACCTTTTATAAACTCATATACCTATGTTCATTTAATTATTATTATTATTATTATTAATTTTATTTGTATTTTCTAGTTCCTTACATTTTATTCATTTACAAACTTGTTAACATGTATATTCCAAAATTTTAATATGTATATGTATATGTTAAAAAAGACATCTTTTTGCAATCTTAATGACAAATTACCTAATTATTATTATTATCATCATTGTTTTATGTGTATATAATTTCTAAACATCTTATTATAAAAAAATATTAGTATTATATAGCCTAAACTATTAATCATTATTATAGGACATTTATTAAAAATAAAGTTTTACCTATAAGTCTCGTAATTTTTTTTTTAGATTGCCTGTTCCCAAATTTTTTATTTAAGCCTAAAAATAAAAACAATTTTCTTATGTCCTTTATGAATAATAATAATAATAATGTAATAAAATAGGTTAACTATTTTATACTTTAATTTTGCATGCATAAATTTGTGTGTATCAGTGACAAAAATCTACAAATTATACAATACAAAATAGTTAATGTGAACAATGCACAATATATACAATACAAAATTGTAATTCGAGTGAATATAAGTATATTTACTCCATGTCTCAAGTATTCGTGCCTCCCAAGGGAATTGGGCGTGACACAATTTGTGTACCGCTGATCAAGTATATTATTTTTCAAGAGATTATTTGATATCTGAATCCAATTCACAGTACTATATTTGAATTTGTTTTAAAATGTTAATTATTTTCAAGTTCTATATGTACCTGCACATACATTTTTTTAATGGTATAGTTTGAGAATTATATGTATTTTTTGTCATAATATATTTTTTTCCCCAAATGTTGACACAACTTTTTTTGAAGCATGTTCAACAGTGTTATTGAAGTAGTGCATATGAGCCACTTCTACGGTTTAAAAAACAATTTATGAATTGTAAAAATAAAATAGCAGCAGGGGCGGACTGGGGCAACATTTTGGCCCGGGAAATCTATATTTTGACCAGGCCCTTGCCATTTCTCGTCATCACAAAAATGTAAAAACTTAAATATACCAACGTTTTATTCAATGAGGAATGCAGCCTCTACACATTTTCAATTTTCCCAGAAAACAACTTAAGATTTTTTTTTTTTTTCATTAATTGTTTATGGCATCGACTAAGAGGTTATCAGCCAGGGGTTTTTGGGACTGTTGGGTTCGGAACTCGTGTGAAACTTAAGATTTGTTAAACTAAACTTACCAAATAGTTTCAATATGTAATTTTAATTTT